AAAATAGGATATTGTTATAGGAAAAAAAGAAAAAAGATGCATTAAAATCCAAATATCATAAAAATAATTAATAAGTTAATAATTTCACCTTTTCTCTTATCTTTCCACAAGTCCTAGCATTGTGACTGTAATACCCCAAAATTTCAAGAACAAATAAGTGTGAGTTAGGGACTTAATGGTGAGAAAACATTTTTAATGGACCTAACCGTCAGTTTTCCAAACTTTAAAGGGGTTAAAGGGTTATGGATAAGGCCGGCTGACTCATTCTCTTTTTCTTTTCCTTTTTCCTTATTTCTTCCCCCAGCATTTTCGCGTGTCTGCTCTGTTTTCCTTTCTCCCTGCAGCCGAACATCACCAGCCATTTCCAGCACCTTCATCCGAAAAATTGGTAAGAGAACTTGATGATTTTTGTTCTCCTCTTGCCCAAGAACAAGTCTAGAACTTAGAACTTCTCTCTCTTGCAGAAAAGCCGCTGGATTTGCTCTGCTTCTCCCTTCCCTGCTGTCGGCTGTTGTTGGGTATAAGCTCCGATTTTTCCTGGTAAAACCAGCCCAGAAACTCCTCTTTTTAGCCTTGATGTATGTTGGGTTCACCCTAATCTTTGTTCCTTTCAATTGCTAGTGGTTCCCGAATTTCTCTCCAATTTTCCCGCCGGCTCTTCCCCTCAATCTGCAACTCCAGCTTTGCTAGTTGGATTTTTGGTAAGTTAGCTCCTCTAATCTCCGAGAATTGGTTGATTAAGTGCTAATTTGTGAGTTTAAGTGGTTGTATGAAATGGGCTTGGGTTGTCCGAAAATTCTGTTGAAATAGGGATGAGTTTTGGCCATTTGAAAATGGGCTTTGGTTGATGATTTGTGTAGGAAATTAGTGGGTTTGATTGTTGTGTGATGTCCGAGAGAAAAGGGGAGAATTCCGTGAATTGGCCATTTTCTATCAAGGCCGGTTCTCCCAAATTCCCGTCCATTAGTTTGAGAAATTGTATATTTGTAATTGTGTAATTGTGTATACATAGATATTAATTGGGAACATTGTGATTAGGTCCTTGATTGTCCTGTGGCCTTAGCACTGGGATTAGGCCTTCTGTCCTGTGTAATTCTGTCCTGTGTAATTAAGGTAAGTAAATTATCGTAAAGCCTTTCGATTTTAAAACATGTTTTAAATTGTTTTTGAGATGGTGGCAAGGTTTAAATTGATTTTATCAGCATCTGAGTGTGATTTAACTGAAATGAAACTTGTGATGATTTTTATGAAAGATTATTATTTTTTGGAATTGAGCATGATTGGAATGAAAATGAGAATTTCATTGTTTTTTGGAATTGAGCATGATTGGAATGAAAATGGGAATTTCATTGTTTTCTAGAATTGAGCATGCCCACATGAGATTCTTCGGTTTATTTTTGAAAGTGAGAATGATCGTGAATCGTGGTTTCTGTAAATCTTGCTTGGTTTTGTCTCCGATATGGTTGTGTAATCGTGACCCCGCTAGTGGGGGAGGTTACAAACGCTAGCACATGTCAACATGTTCGTGATAGAACCGGTTCGCTCGTGGCCCTACTAGTGGGGATTATACACTAGCACTCGTGGCCCTACTAGTGGGGATTATACACTAGCACTCGTGGCCCTACTAGTGGGGATTATACACTAGTACTCGTGTGCCTGCCAGTGGGAGGTTTATAACACTGGTCATGACTAATAGAGGAGACCACTACGTGATTTTACTTGCATTAATGATTTGTTATTGAAACGCTCTGTTCATGTTTCAACCGATTATTTGGCATGCTTTAAACTTTGATGTCGGGCCCCCATGTTTACTTACTGAGATATTTTTATCTCACGGTTTCCTTGTCCATCATTTCAGGTAGTGAGACCCGACGCGTGGGAAGCTCGGGGGAGTGACGAGCTAGACGGCTAGGCACTTTTGGACTTAGGTTTTTGTAGCTAAGCCATTAGTCACCCATGCTTGACATAGAAAATTTTGTGTACGGAATTTAGTGTTAGTCATGATTGTATATATGAAGTGATAAATTTTGTACATTCGACTGGTAACTATTTGATAAATTAAAAGGCTTAAATCTGAATTGCTAAGTAAGAACTCAGTAGGTCTCGAGCCTTGTGCATTTGTGGGCCCACTCACGAGTGCACAACGTCTGTTTCGCTCTTGGTTTGGGGCGTGACAGTGACCTTTGATACCACACATGCTACAAGTTCACCTCCTTTCTTGATATGCTTTTTGTGATACTTGTTTTTTAGGTGGGATCATGAATTGTTATATTACTCGAAATTGCACCTTGGGTGATTGTTAGAGTGTTGGCATTTTGTTTGAGAACTAAACCTTCATGTTGCTTGTTAACTCTATCTAATTGCTTCATCATTTCCCTTAATAATGGTGCAATAGCATTGTAATGATTACGGTGTT